GAGACTCGGGACAGGAAGTAGGAGGACCCAAAGATAGGACGCGGTATTATTATCGAAAATTTTGGTAAAGACAACCAAAGGCACTGGATTATTCGAGACTCGCAGCCGAGATCCGAGAACCGAGAGAACTGGAAGCCCAGTTCGGGGAAGATCGAAGATCGAAAGATCACTGGAGACACGAAATACCCGAAACTCGCGAGACCTCGATAATACCCGGGCATAATGGGGGGTTCGTATCGTAACGTACTCGCCTGTAAAGCGGTCTTGCAAGATTTTACAAGTTTCCTCTCTCTCTCCCTCTCCCGTTGCATCTGTTCGATTTCGAAGGCTCTCGAAGTGAGCAACAATACCGGTGGCACGCACGGACACGCACGTACACATGGAGAAGCAGAGCCAGTCCGAGGAGGCTGCATTTAGGGGTGCATTAAGGGAGGAGCACTCGAGGACATTATAAAACTATCTCGCTGGCCGGAATATTGGGGTAGGACTCCTCCCTCCCTTTCACCGCGCTGCCTCGGCTTCCGGTTGTAACGTGAGCTTCCACGCGTTCTATCCCTCTCTCTCCGACTCTCTATCCGTCTCTATGCCACGTTTCTCTCCTCTCTCGAAACGAGCCACCAATCAACGATCGGGAGGACGAAGACGATTACTACTACGACGACTAGGATACGGACCACGACGACCACGACAACGGCAACCACGACGACCATGACGACCATGACGACCATGACGACGATGACGACGATGACGACGATGACGACGATGACGACGAACGACGTCGTCGAGGGCGAACGTACACGGACAGGAAGAAGGGACGAAAAAAAACATACACATACACGGCGGTCGTGTCGTGAGTTCTGAATGAGCCAGAGGCTTTGTAGGCCCCCGAGGCGGTGTACGAACTATGAATGAACGAGTGAATGAATACAACCTGCGCCACAACCATCACCCCCGTCACCCCTTGTCTGCACGCCTTTTCCCTTCGGCCATGGTTTCATCCCTCTACGACCCTACTCGCAAGATCCTTCATCCCTCTTTACCGTCGCGTTTGTTCCACGGCCTTGCACGATTGTACAAGCCTCTTACCGATGGCATATGCTCCCTTTACCTCGCGACACCTCTCCCTGTTAGGGAGAAACGATGATCAGTGGTAAACGACTCGAAAAAGATCACGGGGAGGGTTACACGCGGATTATGAAGCGAAGATGGCGCGAGATAGGCGATTGATCCGTCCCCGAGGACCACTCCGGAGGAGCTTGCGAAATTACATGTTCGGCGCAGAGTGAAATCGCTTGGAAAACTATGTACGGGCTAATGATATATCAATACCTAGACCCAAACATCTCAGACCTTCCTCGCGACCCATAGAGCACACCGCAACCCCTGTCTCTATGCACCTCACGAAATTCCCTGGAACGTTCGGATTGAAAGCCTCGTGGCTGAATCCTTCACCCCCTGCCTCTCCATTTCCGATCCTCCGCAACGCTGCTCGACTCGTTTCGACGACATCCAATACCCAAATATCTCGCATCCCCTTCGACGCAACCCCTAGGGATCGCCGCCCATCGGCCCGATGCCGCTTTTAATGGCACACGTGCGGCCATAGTTTAGCGCGAAGAAAAGGTCTAGAAGAATATCGGCGAGGACGGTGACGAAGGCTGGTGTGTGGCCGTCTAAAAAGCGCTGGTCGAGAGGACAACGAGAGAGGCCAGGGCAATCAAAATGCCGTATGGACGGTCTCGGTTAGTTATCACGCGGTGGTTGCTTAACAAATAATCATTGTACTCGTCGGCACGATTGACTAACCTTTCCATAAACGTAGCGAATGGCGTCACGATGGCCGTGCCTTTTTTGGTCGGGTGTCAGTAAACCGTAGGGAATCGCTTTTGCGCGCACGGGATTCGACACCGACTCTAATTTATGCACGCGCGACCGCGTGTGCGAGACCAGAGCCTCTGTGTCCGTGCACGTGCGACGAGCATACGTGACCAACGGAAACGAGCCGAACGATCCTCGTCGATCGCTATCCTCGAAATATCATAGAACGTTCCACTGAATCGCCGTTAGATCGAGCTGGCTGATGAAGAAATTCGCATTATTCGCGGGGTTGATTCGCTGTTCCACACGTTCGTTCGATATTCGAGCGACGCTTCGAGTTTCGAAAGCCAGAGGAGAGAACCTTGAGACCGTTGGGTTGCGGAGGCATTTCGAGAGCTCGGGATGATATCGGGGGCTTTCGAAACGTTCGAAATTCGCGCCGCGGCGCGGAGAGCTGTATATACGGGGAGTCCCCCTTACGGCCGTTGAAATCTAGTTGGCGTTGTTATCCTCGAAATGGCGGTGATGCTAGAAGGGACGAAAATAGAAGGAAGGGGTGCATTTGGTAGCATAGGAACCTCCAATGGGGGTACTTAGATGGCACAGGAACTTTTATTTATTGGAAGTCGAGGATTGACCGAGTACTTGCGAGAAAGCCCTCGAACCTTCTTCGAGTAGGAATCCATCTATCGGCGAGGGTGAGAACGACGGTCGTTACAGAGCTTTGCGCAAGCGTAACGCAACGTTTTCCTGGGATCGAATTTTCGGAGATATTCGAAAGTGACAGAATTTATTGCCACGATCCCGTACCAGGATCCGTGTGACCGGGTGCCAGGTTTAAAATCGTAGAAAGATCTCGTTCGACCGATTCTTCATCGGACTTGGCGAACTGTATCGCGATACTCGTGTGCAGGTATAGAACGTGTCGTTGCAAGACGACCAACACAGGCGACCGTATAATAGACTCATTATTTCTGCTTGCCGGAGCACTGTTACGTTATGTATCGCGGCTCTTCGAGGTCTCTGGTTCGACTCTCGCTTATCCTCGCTTTCGACCTCCTCCTCTTGGAACCGATGTATTACGTTACTCCGGCGCGCGCGTTCTCCAACTTTTCCAACCCAGGGCTCCTGGTATAATTCGTCCGATTATTCCAACCGTTCGTTATATCGTTCATTCAGTCGCTTCGATTCTGCGGAAACAAACCGCTCTACTACCTTACTACTCGTTGAATCATCGCGCGGGAATATAATTACGAGCTCCAAGCGCGACGAAACTCTCAACTCCGAGAGGAAAACACGCGGTTTCCATCTTGCTCGCTCGATCATCGAGTCATGTGGATTAACGATTTTAATAAACGTTAAATTTGCTGTAAATTTGCTCTAGATTTCCTCCGAATCGAGCATTCTTCGTCGCAAGTCCGCTCGGTCAGAGCGCGAAACTAGGAAGGGAGTGACCGAGAGGCGCGGAGGAACATCGTGCATTTTTTATTGGACTAAACGCAAGGATGTCGAGAGAGGCAACGGAGCCCGGCGTCGTCTCCATTGTCCGCGGCGAAGCGTGCAGAGGGCCCGACTTTCCCTCGTTCACCCACGGTCACTGCTGCAATGACGTAAGGCCCCCGGCTAGGTAATTGTTACCTACGCTACGAACGCTCGCCTCATAATGTTCTTCTCTGTTCCGTTCTATTCGATCCGGCCACGATTCCCTGCCGTGTGTCCAGCACGCGTGTTCTTTCCACGGACGTGTCGCTGATTCCGCTCGATTCACGAGAACCACAAGTTTCGGACATGTCCTGTTAATTTTCTGTAAAACATCCCGTGTACCTGTCCGAAGTGGTATCTACCAGAATATCCGGTTCGATTCGTCGCATTTCGAGGTCTCGAGTTTGAGTCGGGGTCCATTTTAAGCGAAGTTCAAAGTTACTAGTTTAATTCTACCGCGCGTCGACAGATGGCGCCGCGGTGGATGAACCGAAAATGGAGGAAGAGATAACTCAGAGCCGATCTATCTCGGATGAATGAACGATGATCCACGCTCTCCAGGCGAACGCGGAGTTTTCCATTGTTCGTCTGTGGAACGAGGAGTCCTTCGGCTGAATGGGTTGCGTCAGAGTTCAGCCGATGAAAACGCGGAGAATAAGGTGAATCACGGCTGCGCGAATTGCGCACCATGAACGGGGCCGCGAGATATCGCAATCGCGAACCCTTCGCCCCGTGTCAGGTGGAAGTCCCGGTTAACGAGCCGACTTCTTTCAGCCGACATCGCGAAAACCCTCGGTGAAATCGCGTGGATTGTCGCTGGCGAAGCCTGCCGCTCGTTCCTCGCCAGGGCAGGAGGGGGACGATCACGACGAAACGGTTAAACGAGACGCGAACACAACGACGATAATGAGAGACTTGTGGCAACAACACGTGCAAACGCGGCGTGCCGAGAGATGCTATCAGCCACCCTGACGTAACAATGAGAAACTCCTCTGTGCCCGCCACTCGCAACGCTTTCCTTCGTTCGTCGCTTGCAATCGGGGAAATAAATAAATCGGCTTGTCGCACGCTGGACTTGCCAGGCTCTTGCGTCTTCTTCGTCTCCGGCCTGCGTTTCTGGCCAGCGTTTCCCAACCGGTGTTAATCTTCTATCAACCATCGTCCGGATAGAGAGTCGCATCGACTTCTCGGGCACCGAGTTTCCCTGTACTTTGGACGTCGCTTCGGTTCAGGTAGACAGGACATGTCTCTACACGAGTATCGCGCTTAGGTACCTCGGATCGGAGTGCCTCGATCGACCCGGGGGTTGGGAAACGCTGGACAGAGCACAACAGGCAGGAATAGATCTCTACCTTGAGGCTACACCTGACGCTGACAGGAGGAATTCGACGCTCGAGTCCATATTGTCACCGAGAGTTTTACAGGGGACCGTCCGGGAACAAGGCTGCTCCTTGTATACCGGTAACCCTCTTCCAATTTATCACTCCTCCTCGAAGGATAGGAGGACCTATGTCTTCGCTTCGGACTACGTCTCTCAACGTTGATCCATCGATACTTACAACGGTCACTCTCATTTCCATACATCGACGTCGACGCTAAGTTACTCGCAGAGGAGAGCAGAGACCCTACTATCCTACTATCGTTGGTCCGTCGAGGAAACTGGAGCAGAGGATAGATGAAAAGAGAGAAGAGAGACTTACCATCGTCATGATACTGTCTCGAGGGCAGAGAGACCGCGGTGGAAGGTGGTTGCAACGGGGCCGCCGGTTGGTTTCCGGTGCTTTGCGGCCCGGACGAGTTCGAGATGGCGGAACTCGCAGGCGTCGCTGGACTCTCGTGTTCCGGCGTCGTCGCGACCTGATGCGCCGCGCTCTGGTATCCCAAGAAATCACCTAAATCTGGCACGCATACGCTTTCGTACATGTTGCCCGGCACGTTCTCCAGAGAGGCCTTCGCCGCGTCGACATCTGGATGGAAAACGGAACAAATTCCTCAGTTCGCCACGTTCTGCCATTGCTTTTCCTCCCGACTGTTCGCCGGTGATCCCTCGTTCCTCGCTCTTTTTCTATCTTTTCTATTACCCCTTGCGTTCTTTTTTCGTGGAGGAGGACTATCAGATGGACGGGAAAATTCACGGAGTTCGGGATAAGCTTTGTCCGGGAGCGTTTCTCGTTCTCTCGAGAGTACCCTTCGATCACAGACGTCTTTCACCAGGCTACCGCCGGTTCGTTAGATAGCAGACGGTTAACCCTTTCGCTTCGGCAGTTTAGTTCGCCGAAGTACCGTCACTGAACGGAAGCGCGCCAGAGATATGCACACTGTGCGTGCTTTCTGTATATACGTTTTCCTACGTCTTAAATAACAACTGTGCTGAATAAAACAATCGTATACAGATAGCACTTGCATACGCATCATTTCTAAGATTTGCTAGCTATAAACTTGCACGATATACGAGTATTTATGATCATAATTATGAACCTGTTCGACGCAAGCTTAATCTCGAATCTCTTGAATCAAGAAGAATTGCTGCCGACCTTTCGTTTCTCTTCAAAATTACAAACGCTATTATACCGCAGTCCAGAGTTATTATCTTTCGTTAATTTTCATGCTCCTTCAGGAAGTTTAAGAGACTTTCGAATCTTTATACCTGACCAGCATAATACTGCACGACTGAGTCAGCAGACCCTATCAATGGAATATGCATTCTTGCAAACAATTTCTCATAAAATCCTCAATTTTTTGGCAATAGTATCTCTTCGTTTAAAAACCAGATCTTAAATATCTAAGCAAATTGTTTATATCGACATTTGTACTGTACCTAACCTATATTCTTTCTCTCTGTAATCAAACTGATGTGTCTTTATTTTCTGTTTATATATTAATGGGTTCTACTACCCGTAAATTATTATTAAATAAATAAATATATGGGGTGCCCGTACCCAGGAGTCGTTGCGTGGACGCCACCTATGTGCGGCGCTCGTACTTCGAGGTCGTTGCGTGGACGCCATCTACATGCTCGAAGCGAAAGGGTTAACCCTTTGCACTCGGCGATTTTTTCGTTACAGAGAAATATAGCAATTCTTCTGGAGACTTCCTGTCATAAAGTCGACGATACTTTAAAAACGGTAAATAAGAAATCGTATTAATTTACGCAAATTAAGGGGTACAATTATTTTAGTTCGACATCCCACCCATCATTGGGTAATTTTAAATTTCATATACCAATTAAGGATCTTTAGACTCTGATTAAATGGCGAGTGGGGGTCGCCTCTCGAGTGCAAAGGGTGCCACGTTGGTCATATCTGACCGGTCACGGTTTCTCCTGTGACGCCACGGTGGTCATCGGTGACCGGAGCGTTTGGGCTACTTGTATACTAGAATTGTAAAAATTAAAGGAAAATTGACAGATGGTGCATTGTGAATATAACCACCAATTAGAAAACACTTTAAAAAGTGCCATATTGAACAATTAAAAATTTTTATCAGAACATCAAAAACATATTAACACTTAGCCGACCGATCGGGGAGATCACCCATTTTGACCTTGGCAACGCGTTTCTCGTTTTCGGTTATTACTTGCACTACCTCCATTTGGAGTTGTTCGCGATTACTGACGAACTGCAGTATTGCAGAATTCACCAATTTTTAAGGCCCCTAAGTGGAAACCGTATAGTTCGCACTGGGGCGTGCGGTCGGCTAAGTGTTAAAACAAATCTTGCATCCAGTGGTGCATTTCCGTGGCGTTCTGAGCGAAACACGTAATTTCGGCGTGGCAGTGAAGGGGTTAAAGAACGATTTGGTACCATTTGCGACCGATTCGTCAACCTGCTGCTCCTCCGTCGCGAGGCTACATTGTTTACGCTAACACGCTGTTTACACACGGCAGCCGCAGCAACGCGGGAGGAGTAATTAATGTTTGTGCCCGTAGTTACGCGATTATAGGATTCCATGTGATTAAGCCAATTACGTTCACAGTGCGGCGGCGTTAGCCGCGCGTGCAAACTCGGTCCCTGTTTTTACCATTCCGGTGCAAGAGCACCGCGAACGTAATCGTGATGAACGATCTAGCCGTGCTCCATTATTACGGCCATTATTGCGAAGGAGACGATTGCCATTGGCGTGATTCATCGGCGAACCAAACGATTCTGCGTTTCTCGCCTTCATGCGAAAATCATCTTCCTTTTTACCTCCCTCCTGGCCCAATGTTCCCCGTTCCGGCGACCGGAACTAGGAAACGGGGTGAAACTCGTCCATCCACGCGTCTGCAATTTCTCCCTCGCTTCGCTTTCGAGAGAGACAGAGACTCAGAGGAAAGAGAGAAAACGAAAATTGGAAATCCAGAGTTGCGCAAGGGAGACGAAACCAAAAGAAGGATCGCGGGTTTCGCTCGACGATTCGACGATTCGTGTGTGCATCGGGAGGATGCAGCTTTTTAGTTTCCACTTTTTCCTCCTTTTCTCTCTTTTTCCCCCTTTTTTTACGGCGCACGAGAGAGTTTCCTAATATCCGTTCTCGTTCGCGGAATCAAAGCGATTACCCACGCTATGTCGCGTCTGCGCGCGTACACACACGCGCGCGCGTTGAATCGCGATTGGCCGCGGATCACGAGCGTTCTTCCATTGTTTCGCCACTGGTACGAAAGAGCATCGATAGAAAAGAAAAAAAAAAAAAAATAAAGAGATAAAGATAGCTCGGCTAGGATCGCGAATCGATCGGCGAGTCGATGCCGAAATGTCGTCTGGTTTCGAGGCCGATATCGCGTTGCGTCGTGCTTTGTTGTCTCTCTTATCGCGCGACCATATCTGCTCCACTATGATGCTCGCTGTTATCTCGAATAATTATCCTGCCGCGTCTCATTATAGAGCCTCTACTCATTGTTTCCCGATAACGCAGATAGCCCGTATCTATAGCAGACTGTTCTTGCTATATTTAGAGGCGCAATGGTGCTTCTTCCTTTTTATCGTTATTATCGTTACCGTTATTGTAATCGCCGCTGTCGTCCCTATTTATCGTTTACATCGGCGCGAAACCGGCGAGCAATGGGAGCCGTCGCGCGATCGGTTTGCTCGAGGTACGCCTGACAGCGGCGCATACCGCGACACGCCATAAAATCCTGCGCTGCGCGAGGCGTTTTTATTAAATTCAGAATTAATTGGTCACACGGTAGCGGTAATAAGAAGAAAAAGATGGCGGCGCGGATAAAAATCGGATTCGTCGGGGTTCGTGTTACGTGTCTAATCGGGCCAGTCGATTGAATCGCGGTTTCCCCGGCGATCAGACGACACGAATAATCGATGAGGAAGTACGGGCTTTTACTTAACGGGAATTAAATCATGGGTGAACCTCCGCTTCCTGCCCGGATCATTTCATACCCTGTCCGGCTCTGTCTTGCCACCTCTTGCCCCCTCCCGCTCGCGCCCTTCCTGTTCGTGGCGGCCGCCGGCGAAGATGTAGAAGTTCCAGGGAAGCTTCCTTCGATCCGCGATATACGATACCACACGCGTAACGACGAGGAATAAGTATCGCGAGCAGACGAGAAACCGATCGCGACGAAAGATCCTGCTCTGCCGAGGAAACAGGGGGAAGCCGAAGAAAGTTCGCTCCTGCGATTTTTCCATCTCCCTTCGATCCTTCCCGATCTCGAGGGAAACGCCTATCAGCAGCGAAGTATTATCCTTCGATTTCCACCCTCCTGCCGTAAAAATCCGCCCGGCCATTGTAAAGGATCCCGGCGGCCTCTCTATCTCGTAATCGAAACACGAGCGGATTCCCGGGCTGCATGCACGGTCCTACGCATCGAGGGCCACGCACGTACGTAGAACGGTCCGAAAACCGCCTAAGTGGCCGAGGCAATGGCACGGGAGCATTCTGGTGGCACAGGATATCCGGAGTGGGAGTTTCTATGGCGTGCGGCTCTTTTTTCCCCATTCTCTCCTTCGTTTCGAATAAAAAGTGCCGATTCAACGCTTCGAAACGCTGAAAACACGAAGCTCGCACACAGAAAGAGAGAGGATACGCGTCTCGCCTCCGCGATCTCGTCATTGTTCCCCTGCCTCTCTTACCCTCCCCTCTCTCCTGCACCCTCTACCTGTGCCTGCCGTGACATCGCGATTTTACGGCAATTCGATCCGTGGTTTTGTCCACCAGACTATGGGATGTCCCAAGGAAAACGACTCTTCCGCTCCAACCTGCTTTTCCTCTCGCGAATCTCGGAAAATCGACCGAGGTCTCGGCTCTCTGGACCTTGTCTTGCTCGTCTTTCGAGCAAACTTCGAGATTTTTTGATTTAATATTCTTTCTTGCTTTTCTCCGATTCCGTGGAACGGAAAATCGGAGACTCGACGATGGCGATCGAGTTCCTCCGCGAGTTCGCATAGAGGAGTCGAGAGACGGACGCGTAACGAAGAAGCAGGGTGAAGTCACGTACCTTTCTGCAGGATCTCGAGGTGTTCCCACAGGATATCGCCCATGAAGGCCGGAGCACGTGCCAAAAAGGATTCCTTCCCCATGGCACAAATCTGCTTCCCCGTCATGTGCTGCCAGGGTTGCATCGCCACACCCTCCAGGGAGAACTCCCCGATTGCCCAGTGCAGCCAGTGAGCGACAGCTGCTTCCGACCATTGCCTCGGATCTGGAAAAATATTATCGCCCAGTTGCTTAATCGCTGCCACTGCTCATCTTCCTTGTTTTCCTGTATCTCTCACTCGAGTGAGCAATTATCTATGAAGATGTACGAAGGCCCAAGGCTGGAGGAGTCCGAAGGTCTTTATTGCAATTACTGCTCTTGGACTCGAAGGATTTGACAACCCTCGAATATCTCGCCATAGTCATAAGTGTTTTAAACGTGAACAGTCTGAGACGCTGACTAATCACGTCGTTTATTCTAAAGATCATTTTTACCTAGAATCTGTCAAAGATCCGTCAAAGATCATGGAAGAACTTTGCTAACCTGTGGTTACGTCTAGAATCTGCAATTAACAAACTATAATAAGGTGAAATGAACAGTAGAAGTTAAAAACGACGAGTGTATTTGTACTGTGCATTCGGGAAAAGAAGGCACAGCGTGTTTACATCCTCGTGAGTAATTGTCTCTGCCAATTCTCCCTTGATCATAAGGAGTGACAGCTATTGGCAGAAAACTGTGATCGATGATCTTTGTTGCGTCTAGAATCTGCAATGAACCAACTATAATAAGGTGAAATGAACAGTAGAGGTTAAAAACGACGAGTGTATTTGTACTGTGCATTCGGGAAAAGAAGGCACAGCGTGTTTACATCCTCGTGAGTAATTGTCTCTGCCAATTCTCCCTTGATCATAAGGAGTGACAGCTATTGGCAGAAAACTGTGATCGATGATCTTTGTCACCATCCTCGGCCAATACCGGTCACTGTCTGTGATCATGAGAGTGTCAACGGAGTTAATCAGCCGCGAGTAACCCGTGGTTGCAATTTTAATCGCGATTAACCAACTATAACAAGGTGAAACGAAGAGTAGAGGTTAAAAACGAAACGTGTATTTGTACAGTGCGTTCGAGAAAAGAAGGCACAGCGAGTTTTCATCTTCACGACTGATCAACTCCGCTGATTCTCCCTTAATCACAGGCAGTGAAAGCTATTGACAGAAAATGGTGACCAATGATCTTTGTCACCATCTTGGACCAACACCGGCTACTGTCTGTGATCATTGGAGTGTCAACGGAGTTAATCAGCCGTGAGTAACCCGTGGTTGCAAGTTTAATCCGCGATTAACCAACGATAATAAGGCGAAATGCACAGTAGAGACGTATAGAGACTCTGCTTCTACTGTGCGTTCGAGAAAAGAAGGCACAGCGTGTTTACATTCTCTGCTGATTCTCCTTCGTCAAAAGGAGCGACAGTTATTGGCAGAAAACCGGTGACCGATGATCTCTGTCACCATCTTCGGCCAATACCAGTCACTGTGCTCCTGATCATGCGATTGTGATCAGAATTGATCAGCCGCGAGGATGTAAACGCGTAGTGCCTCCTTTTATCGAAAGCGCTGTATGTCTACAAGCAGAGCGGTATCATTGTAATCGGTGTTGAAAGTGGCGAGGAATCCGGGGATAATTGCTCGATTTATCAAAATCGATGGGTGAGACGATTTCGAAACGTATTTATGCCGGAGGAATTCTGGAATTTCGATATCAGCTATATCGAGATAGACGGGAGAAATTTTTACGATCGATATATATTCCGATCGCTATCGCTCTCTAATAATCGGCGCATAATCGATCGCTGATAACTCAAGAGCTCGCGATAAAACCGCGAGGCGATCGAGGCTGGATCCGGTCGCGTAAAAAGTAACTGTTCGGGAACGATTATTCAAATCGTGCTGGTGACTAATGACGTTCCCGATGCTTTCAAACAGGAAACGATCGGTATCTATTCTAATGTGACCAGTTCCAACGTTCCCATCTTTCACGACGATTCTTGTTCCTTTTCCCTCGTCCCGACAATAAAATCCTCCGCGGGTCGAGCAAGGATGTTTCGATGCGCGAGTGAAATCAGCATCGAAGAAACCAACCAATCATTTAACGATAACGATATCCGTGAAATTTTGAAAATTGTATTAATTATGCAATCGTCTCCTCTCTGTCTATAGGTACATACGCAAAATTCGAATGGAAATTATTATAAATGGAAAGCGGAACGAGACGAGGATTAAAATAAATGGGTACAATTAGAAAAATTGGACGACGATGGAGGAAAATGTGTCAATAAGAGAGATCGCGACGAGAGACAAAGGCTTCTCGAAGACGGGAAAGATATTGCGTCGGGTTGACGACATGATCGGTGCTGGGGCCCGGCCATCTTTGGTAGAAGCAATACCGAGAAACATTGGAATGTCCCATTTGAGGTGCGCGCCCATATTTGCACGCGTGTCTTGCATTGTTTCGCGGTATCTTCCCGCGTAAAAGTACAGTTCGGCTCATAATGCAAACAGAAATTACGACGAACCGGCCTGCCCTAACGCGGGACCCTCTTCCTCTCTGTCTCCTCGCCGCGTGCCAAAGAATTCGTCGAAACGCGCGCAAACCGACGAAAGTTTCGCTCTCGACTATTCCAGCACGTCTCTTGCTTTCTTCCGCTCGATATCCGCTTCGAAATCCCCGTTTCTCCGCTCCGAGAACGAGCTATATAATGGCCGCCACGAGTACGACGTACGACGGAGAAAAAGGGAAGCAAAAAGGGTGCGGATCGAGGGTTGCCACCGTTTCGAAACGTGGATGGACTGACAAAGGCAGCTTCTCGCAGATAATCTCTGACCAGCGGCGTGACGATCTGCATATTCCTCTCTCCGGGCGATGATAATGCGCGGAGAGTAATCTAATGTAATACAGGACTTTTAACTCCCACCCGCTGGTTCACCTTATCTGCCGGCTGATTACGTCGTAGCAAACTAATTGCCTAGATTAGCCTATTGCGGCACGGCTGATTAAAAGCTGTAGCAGCGAATGAGCGCTAGCGAGAGCCTGCTAGTCCCGACCGCCGCGATAGCACGCCCTGTAATCGCTGATTCTACCCTCGCACGTGAATATCTAAGCGACCACTTTTTCTTCTCACTCGTCTACGAATATTACAACCGTAATGCGAAAATTATAGCCACGTAATTGAGAGACGAGAGGGTGCTGGCAGGCTAACTTGATCGTTAGCGTGGAATTAACGATCCTTTGCTGCAAGCGGTAGGCTGGATACCGAATTTTAATTTGGAAATGGAAGATGGACAGATATTTCGACAATTTATTTGGAAAAAATTCGATGCACGGAGCCCAAAGTTTCTCGAGCATCGAATTATTTATATGGAAATGGACGAAGAGTGAAAGAAGTACCTTTGTATTTACCTGAAGTTTACTTTAAACCTATCACAAGTTCGACTGTACATGTAAGAACAATATGACACGCGTGGCGAGGAGAAAATTGCAAGTACATATCGGTAAAATTAGAAAATAGCTGAACGATGTACGCGGTATGCGCGACGCACGTTGATCGGAGATACAGGCCGCGGTGGCGCTAGTGAGTTAAGCGAAAAATCGCCTGGGGACTGCCGAAACGCTCGCCGGTGAAAGGAACTTAGCGCAATGGAAATCCCTCTAATTGCTACAACTGATTCGAGCTTGGAAAATTCGAGATGTTCTCCACGCGAGGGGATTCTCGGCGTGAAAAGAACGTAGTTTCAAGAAGGAAAGCAGCTTAACCGTTTAGGAGGTGGCTAAAAGCGAAATAAACGGAGTAATCGAGAAAGAACGAGCGGAACGAGCCGGTCGGGTGGGGACGGGTGTTACCACGAGCGAGAGGGAGAGGAGCGAGTCTGTTAACAGTGCTGACAAGGAATAAGTTCGGCAAACATCGGCGCGATCCTCAAATATCGGCGGCCGCTTTGATCGTGCCGTGCCGTTAGACACTCGCGCGAGCGAGTCCTCTTTGCTCTCTCTCACCTTTCCTCTATTTATGTATTATCGCCGCGGTACCGATCCCCGGCTCGATCCTCCGTGTGTGCTTCGTCGTTTCATCGTTTCCACGAACGCTGCGCGCACCGGGGACCTTCCATTCATAAAAACCGCCTTACTCTCGCGAGTCACGTAGCGACGCGCGACGACGCGCGACCACGATCGCGGGATCGGGCCGCGACTCCGCGATTTCGATATGGCCATTCCTTCTTCTTCCAGCTTCCCTCGGTGCTTCTCCCTGTGAGCTATTACCGGTCTTCTCCCCGGTCGGGCACCTTTGACTCCCTTTCGTTCGACGAGAAAAATCGCGTTCCTCCGGATGCCGGCGCAGAAAAGAGAACCGTGTCGGTCTCTACCTTGAATTCCGAATTGCCTACGAGGAACCTTCGAGGCCTACGAGGAACGGAGCGTCGGCGATGGCAAAGAAAATGGCCACCGCGAATGTCGAAGCAGTCGAAAAGCACACCGTGGCGAAGGCAATCGAGCTCTCGCGGAGAGATCCTCAAACAGAGATAATCGCCGCAGGTGCCACGCGCAAGCTTTTTCCACGATAATCGAGAAATACCGACTGTGATTTCGGTCGGTTGGTTTAGGAACCGTCTGGCTTATGCCGGGCCCTCGCAGTTTACCTACGATACGATGTACCTGCCCTCCAGTGATAAATTTCTCCGGCCCCTCGTCGACAGGTGGACGCCAATTTCTTTCTTCTTCTCGCCCCCTCTCTCTTCCACCTTCCTTTCTACGAATCTCTCTGGTAGACCGGCCCGGAGGAGTAATACAGCACGCGTCACGGTGGAGATTTTAATTAGCCATCCGACGCCACGTTTGGGCCGTTCCACTTTATCCCCTGTGTTTCCATCGTCCATTTCTGTTTCCATCGTCTACTCATGTTCCCCTCGATCGAGTACGCCTTGTCTCCGCGAAACGCGGAATGCACCTGACCCTATCTATGATAGCTACTGGGCATCTGGATCCTAAATCGGTGCCAAAATAACGTACCCTTGTTCTCCGGCCATCGTGATTCGATGAACTAGTCGAGCATGACGTAAAATACAGGAAAATCCTCAATGGCAGGATTTCGATTCAGCTGGACGACGTTGAGCCTCGACGATCGCGCGAGTCGGAGCGCGATAAGCCCAAGAGTAGCGAGCAACATTCTGACACTGTGTCGATGCTTGGTCGATGCTGTACGTGACTCGTCGTGTCTCGATTCGACAAAGAGGATACATCCTTGGCGGCGCTTATTATTCATAAGAAAGGCAAATTCTGAATAAATCATAATAACGAATGCGTCAGAGGGTTCTGACGTCCTGCGACGCGATCGCGAATGCACACCGTGTCTCCGTGCAGCAGGTGCTTCGTCGACGGTTGTAGCACGCACGGTACCAACGTCGAGAAATGGATCGCGTTAACAGCCAGCCGTTTAGATTACTTTCGCTAATTCCTCTGCCAACGAGCCTGCCGGGAATCGCGTTAACCTAAGGACTACAAAGTACACTGGCTAACAAAGGCCCGAAAATAGGTCGTCAGGGAGCAAAAGCCCGGGGTGCCCGAATTGAACCGTCCCTGCTCGGCAATCGAACAAGCATTCCCTATACAATGGAATTCCTATTTCGAACTGTGAAACTCGTTCTCCAAATTATCGACCGAGTCCATCCATTCTCGCTAGCCTAAACCGTCTAAACGCAAGAGCAAAGACAATGGACGCCAAAAAAGATCGAACGGAAGACCAATGGCGGAGAAGACGAATAGAGAGAAAGAGAGAAAAAGAAAAAGAGAGAGAGAGAGAGAGAGAGGGAGAGTGAAAGAAAGGAAAGAAGGAAAGGGATACAGAACAAACGCGACTACGGTCCGCTCTAAAGTGGAACGGCGCGAGGTTGCTCGTTAGGTTCACGGAGGTCAGACTGTAGGTGATCTGGCCGGAGGGTACGAACCCGGGGCATGTAGACCGGAAGTAACGTCACACCCGCGTGGCTCTGAATGCGCATACCGGATGTGTGGCATCGGCTCCCCATCAGAACCATCAACATCACATTCACAATTCCTGCACATCGCCGCCTCGTCGCACATCGCATCACATCGCGTATATACTCGCGTCTCCGCGCACGCACGCACGCACGCACGCACGCACGCATCTATGCACGCACGAGGTTTTCCCCCGGTTTCGAAAGGGCACACGCAGACCACACTCCGATTTTTCGACAAATTTCTCTCGTCCGCGCTCCACCGTGACGACAGTTGTGCAACCGAACGAGAAGCTCGTTCGCCTATCATGCAGGCCACTCCGCCATTTCTGCTACTAATTATCCTACGGTCTAAAGTGATCTCGCAGTGGATTCTGATTGTATCGTATATTCTATGGAAGAGTTTCGAAGGGAGTGAATACGTTGGAGAAAGTGGTTGGGAGCCTAGAAATTTTGGCAAATGCGCGAGTGATACAGTACTGGTGTTGTATTCATGCGACTTCTAGAGTGACGAGAGTAATCGTGAAATCCTGATCATCGGTGTGATGGATCTCACGGTCGAAAGTCGATCTATTTATCTATCTATCGCTGGGCTTGTCAATGTATTGATCTTTGGATCATTCACCATTGACCGAATAGTACAGCACTGGTGTCGTGTCTATGCGATTTCTAGAGTAGCGACTATAATCGCGAAATACTAATTTCCACCATCGACGTGGTGGATTCCACGATCGAAAGTCGATCTATTTATCTATCTATCGCTGGGCTTGTCAATGTATTGATCTTTGGATCATTCACAATTGATCAAGTGGTACAGTACTGGTGTCGTGTCTATGCGCTTTCTAGAGTGACGAGAGTAATCATGAAATCCTGATCATCGGTGTGATGGATCTCACGGTCGAAAGTCGATCTATTTATCTATCTATCGCTGGGCTTGTCAATGTATTGATCTTTGGATCATTCACCATTGACCGAATAGTACAGCACTGGTGTCGTGTCTATGCGATTTCTAGAGTGGCAACTATAATCGCGAAATACTAATTTCCACCATCGGCCTGGTGGACTCCACGATCGAAGTTCCATCTATTTATCTATCTATCGCTGGGCTTGTCAATGTATTGATCTTTGGATCATTCACAATTGATCGAGTGGTACAGTACTGGTGTCGTGTCCATGCGATTTCTAGAGTGATGAGAGTAATCGTGAAATCCTGATCATCGGTGTGATGGATCTCACGATCGAAAGTCGATCTATTTATCTATCTATCGCTGGGCTTGTCAATGTATTGATCTTTGGATCATTCACAATTGATCGAGTGGTACAGTACTGGTGTCGTGTCCATGCGATTTCTAGAGTGGCGACAATAATCGCGAAACACTAATCATCGGCGTGGTGGATCCCACGATCGAAAGTCGATCTATCTATCTATCTATCGCTGGTGTTTTCAATCTATCGATTTCTAGATCGCGATTGATCGCCATCGATACGCTGTTTTTCCTCGAACAATTTCGCGATCCGAGGGATCCTTATCACGAAGAAGAAGCTTGTTCCTCAGCGGAGGAATATCAGACGCAGAAAACACTTGGCCTGAAAGATCAAGCTAATCTCGAGTGTTATTACGACGATTAAAATCTCGTCTGATTATACTGTCAAGAACAACACTGGAATGGAAAAACGCGAATGTCACAAAGCGTGGCAAAAACTGGGCAGATCGATTAATAATAAGCGCGACGCTCCTCGCTCTGGATAGACGCGTTTCAAATGTCTTAATAAAGATCGATAAACAGATCTAGTGATCGACAGATCCGATAAATCCCAGCTGGCTTAACGATACGTTCAAGGTGCCTGTAATAGGTTCTTAACGAGATCAAAGGTGAGAACCTTGGTCTGGTCTCTCTAGGCACTGAATCACTTCCGATTTCCTGAGGTATCTCTGAGAGATAGATCCAAGAGAGTGAAAAATGGATCGACCACTTGGAATTTACAAGACATGGGCGATATAAGATAGAAGGAATCGCATAAGCAGCTTCTAATAGGTTCTTAACGAGATCAAAGGTGGAAACCTTGGTCTGGCCTTTCTATGCACCGAATCACTCTTTCGATTTCTAAAGGCACCTATGGAATAAAGAAAGTGGAAAATGGATCGATCACTTGGAATTTACAGGCTGCACGATATGGGGCAAGAGAAATCGCATAAGCAGGCTTAGGGTTAGGGTGAAAATGTCAAAACTGGCGAATAGAATCGCGGTACTTGGTGAGGGAATGATCCTGTAATTAGAAGTCGCTGAGAAACCTGTACGCCATGGAACGTGAGTAAGGAAGAGGGGTAAAAGGGGGAGCAAGGAGGGAGGAAAGAAAGAAAGAGGATTTTCCGCAAGAAATACGAAGAGAAGGTGGAAAAAGGCTACACTCACCTTTGGTTATGTTGAGGCGGACTCGTTCCTTCTCCCAGGAGGCAAAAGAGGCCTCCAGGGCCTCGGTCATCTTCTTGTTGGTCCCAGGTGTTAACGGCGGCACTTGTGCCGGTATATCTGCAACGTGAGGATGCGCTCATGTTAAGCCGTTCGATTTTCGACGCCTCTTCGTTCGATCGGAAATTCCGGGAAATTCGAAATCTATTTTATAATAGGAAAAGATATGGGATGTTTTTCTACCGTGAGTCTCTTGGAGATATGGTACTCGAGAATTCGCATTTAACTTACACTCAAAGGTGTTAGTCTCGAAACTAGCATATATGCCTCTGATTCGTTTGGAAATTTCGGAAAGTAGTTAATGGAGAAAGATTCGGAATTCTTTTTAATTTTGAGTAGTCTGGAGATTGGGTAGGCACTGAAGAACTAGGATTTTAATTAATTCGACGAAATGACAAGTGCTTTTGGAGATTAACACCATGATATGAGCAGTGTATACCTCTGATTGGTTTAGGAAGATTCGAAACGTTGTTAACTTTGGGCTTCCTAGAGACAGGATTCCATTTAATTCGTATACTCGTCGATGTTTTAAGATATAGTTTGGGATATATAGGGTGACACAATAATAGCCTAAATAATTTTCACAGTTCCTTGAGACTAATAATATAGAAGCAAACAACCTTCAATCACAGTTTACATACTTTACTACAAATTTCACTGGTTTATAAGGAAAACAGCTAGATTTCCAATCTAGTAACTTCTTTCCACTAGTTCTATCAACTACTTCACATGATACCAACATTCCCTTACAAAACCCAATTTTACCTACGCTATACCTACAATCTTCTATTCCCAAAAGACAACTTTAAGATCACCTCCTAGACGACTGCTAAAAATCACATGCCAGCCTACCACCTTCACGATACGTTCAAAATTCTCCATCTCGATCAAACCCCTGACCCGAACAATTTCGTCCATTTTCTCGACCCCAAACCGCCCTGGAAAATCGCTGGCATAGACCCACGCGAGTGGCGTATGAAATTGCGTATGAAAATATCGGTAGGTGGTAAACCGTTGCCGAGACGAGGGAAGAGGGAGAGACAGACGAGCAGGCAGACGAAGAAGAGTCGGGACCGGTGGATGTGTGAGAAGCCAGGTTAATGGTACTTCTCACAAAGCGGCGTGCACACGCGCAGTGGCGCGCGTGCAGAAGAGAGAGCCGCGTCAGGTGTCGCGGCGGCGGCGGCGGCAGGAGCAGCGAAAGCGAACGCAGGCGAGGGGGCATGCACACCATCCTAGATAGCATCGTCGTAAAGAGGGGTGCAACTGGCGGGCAGGTGCAGGTGCATCGTCGTTGTAGGTACGCTTGCTCTATGCCGCGCGCAGCGTACGCCTTATGGCGCGATCGCCGAATACGCTTCGCGAGACTACTCTTTGTCCCGGATCTAGCCGTCTCCATTTTAACCATCTCCATTTTAACCATTTCAGACCGACATTCCGCGCAGGCCGACGTTTAACACTTCGCCTTCGTCGTGCTTTACTTTTTTATTCTACGGGGTTATTTTACGTGCAGAGATAAATTGGAAAAGCGAGGTTAAAATGGCGATACGAATTCTCTTCGTTGCGCTTTACTTTCTTCATAATTAGCGTTATTTGATATGCAAAGATAGATTGGAAAAGTGAGGTTAAGATGCTGATATGAATTCTCTTCGTTGCACTGTACTCTGTTATTAATCGTCGTTATTTTACATTCAAGAATAAAATGGAAAAGCGAGGTTATAATGTTAACACGAATTATGCACTGATTGCACTATTGTCTTTGGGCATGTGTGCTCGGATGAGAAACAAAAGACTATTTTTATGTCCCACCGGGGTCCTTTGGACTAAAAACATGGACTCACATCGATAAATTGAGAATAGGTGGTAATGTTAATACTAATTCTCTTCGCCGTTATTTTATTTTACGTTTAAAAATAAAATGGAAAAGTGAGGTTAAAATGTTAACACGAATTATCCTGATTGCACTATTGTTTTTGGACGCGTGTTGTGGAATGAGAAATAAAAGACTACTTTTATGTTCCACCGGGGTCCTCCGGACCAAAAACATGGACTCCCATCGATAAACTGAAAATAGGTGAAAATGTTAATACGAATTCTTTTCGTTGCAGTTTACTTCGTTATTAATCAGGATTATTTTACACCCAAAAATAAATTGGAAAAGTGAGGTTAAAATATTAATACGAATTATCCTGATTGCACTATTGTCTTTGGACGCGTATGGCGGAATGAGAAATAAAAGACTCCTTTCATATTCCATCGGGGTCCTCAGGACCAAAAACACGGACTCCCATCGATAAATTGAGAATAGGTGGAAATGTTAATACGAATTCTCTTCGCCGTTATTTTATTTTACGTTTAAAAATAAAATGGAAAAGTGAGGTTAAAATGTTAATACGAATTATCTTGATCGCACTATTGTCTTTGCGCATGTGTGGTCGGATGAGAAACAAAAGACTCCTTTTATGTCCCATCGGGGTTCTCCGGACCAAAAGCATGGACTCCCACCGAACCAAGAATCTAAGTTCGAAGGTACCTGTTGCATCAATTATTCCAATTCAACGCGTCACAACTCGAATAACTAGAAGAGCTATCTTCAAAAAGAAAAATCAGACTAAGAATGCAAACATCGAATACGGAATTTTCAATGAAAAACTAAAAAATGGTTATTTAAAACTACTGTCTCTTCGCAAGATGTAACACACAGTCTGCTTTTCAAATAGCTTCCTAACGCAGTATTTCACTCGTGTGTAATACATTATGTATACGAATGGGATATTATACTATTAATCCCTTGCACTCGAGACATGATTTCTCGATCGCTAATTAGCAGATTAACGATCAGTCTCAAGCTTACGTAACGACTCGTGAAATATCGATATGAAATATCGATACAGTTCCGTAAAGCAATTCTCCTTTTACCCACAACAAAAGCTCCGTGAAGCCTATAAAAATTCGTGAAACCTAATCGAAACCTCGATTCCACATAATATAAAGTGTCTCTCATCGTCGCCCATCGTGGATCCAAGGTCGCAGTTAATTGTAGCCTATTGTGATTAAGATTCTCTCGTTCTTGCGCTTAGTTTTAATTAGGTTCACAGGTGGAGAGAGCGAAAGTGCGAATTCATAGTCAGCGAATGTAACCAAAGGGGGGATGAGGCATCGGAAGACTATAGTCATCGAATCTCTCGTGGCAATTGCACTAGACACGCGTCCTTTTGTCCACACAAGTCATGCTACCAGACCGCTGCTTTTGTTTTCGTGGCAGCCATAAGCCCGTATCTTATCGAACCCGCTGCCTTACGTCTCTTCCGTTTCTGATAAACGGAAAATAGCCGCCAGAGTGCGCGACTGTGTACGTCCCTCCTACCGACGAATCTTCGAAAACCAGTTTCCGGGACAATAAATCCGATTATTCCTCGAGATCCTCCTCATAGAGAGACATGGAAGAAGATGGAGGAGAAGAGGGAAAAGAAGACGAAGAGGAAGAATGGGCTGGCTGTAGACGAAAGCAACGCTAGTCGCGGCGTGAAGGAACTTAGGCTGGCGAGGCACGATAAAAATCGTGTTTCCTTGGGGAACGCGGGGATATCTGCACAGCTGGATTTGCATGGCTATAAGCTCTTCCAACGGCGTACCGCCGAAAGTCCATTAAGTATGTATGGCGTGCACGCACGGTAAGTCTCCCGTAACCCATAAGCACCTTTGTCTCTACGCGCACAGGCACACGCGGCCGCGTGCGTGTGCGTACGGCCACGCACGAACACGTGCGAGCGGAAATTTGCATACCGGCGCGCGGTTACAAACGTACAAAGTATCGACGCTCTCGTCGTTTCGAGCAGCTACTCGCTAGAGAACTCCGCTCGCTGCTCCTTAAATGGCTCCGGCGAATTTGACACGCGATACAAATAATAAATCCGGAATATCATTAACCCTTTGCACTTCGAATTATTTTACAATTTTCTGCCCGATAAACTATCATACTATTTCAAGTATTTTCCTTCAAATTTACTTCACGGGACAGTTCCTCGATTTACTTATTTTAAAGAATTTTGTTTACCGATTATGTTAAATGTGGCTATCAAGCATAGTTGTGATTTAGATTTTGAATTTTGGTAATTCGAGCTACTTATTTTCCGTTTTCTTGTTCAGTAAGTGAAGAATGAAAAGACGTCGAGTTAAAGGGTTAACTCTTTGTACTACGGAGGACAAGTTCAGTTGTTGTTTAACCGAATTCCCAAGATCCGTGTTAATTAGTTTGTCAAATTGAAGATTAACCCTCGAGAGGGGACCCTAAGTAGTCATTTAATCGAATTCCGAAGATCGATGTTAATTAATATATCAAATTTAAAATAATGTGACGATGGAATGTTGAAATAAAATAATTCTAAGTGTTAGTGTTAAAATGTCTCCGAATTGTTGATCTTCTGTAACAAAAAGATCATCCAGTGTAAAGGACTAAGAATATGTTCCACGTGCATCGTAGATTAACAAAATTAATCCAACTGCTCGAGTCTTCCCCATTTTAATGGCATTATTTTACTTTAAAATGAGCTATAAAGTCGTTCCTTCTGAATTTTTCAAACTAGAATATACAGGTTAAACAGAAATATTTAAAACGATGTTAATAACAAGAAAATTCCGAGATTACGTCGGTAGAATTACGAAATAATCCGAGGATATAACGAAACTTACGATATTTCCATATACCGTAGATACGAGCCGCGGTGGCGCTAGTGAGTTAAGTGGAAAGTGGTCCTAAGGCTATCGTGCTAAGCAAGAAAAACCGAATCGACGTTATTTCTCATTATCGCCTGCAATATTTCAATTTGGGCATTAACATGTCGACTGCTACGTCAGTCCCTGGGGACTGACAGTAGACTTTTCGTTTGGACGGTATTTTAACACCGGTATTTTACAGTAACTCGCGTCTTGCCAGAGTTCACCACTTCCAAAAAACAGACATCGGAGTCTCGATGTCTACGACATCGGAGAGATCGGGGATGAAGATGTTCCAAATCGAAGCGAACAAGAAGCATCGTCGTCCATGTATAATTCAATCG